CAGTCTGGTGCTATTACCAGCCTTGAGTGACCATTGTGGACACAGCTCATGTGCAGAATTTCTGGATCAGAGTTACTGCTGGGTCCTGGGACACACACATCTTCACCTTTGCCAGTTGATGCCCAGAGTTGTCATATCTACTCCCTGAAGTTCAGGAGAAAGCCTTTGTCACACATTCCTGTAACACCTTGGTCAGGTTCAGACTTTCAAATTTGGCAAGTCTGGCATGGTGCAAAAGTATCTTTCATAGCTTTTTGTTTGTGCTTCACTGGTTACTAATACAGCTAGGGGCTTTTTCATTTGCTACTGCACTTGTGATAGTTTCTATTTATGAAATGTATCCATTTTTCCTTTCAGGTTGTCTTCTTAATAATTCACAGGAGTTATTTATATACCATAGATACATGCTTGTGTTGGTTACAAACTTCTACTATTTAACCTCCCACTTTGAGACTTGTCTTTTCACTTTCCCGTGATGTCAGTTAACAGATAATCTTACCTTAATGTAACTTCTGTTTTCTTCAAGGGTGTGTTGGGTATTTTTTTCCCCTTACTCTTCCAAAAGTTTTATAATAATCTTGTCAAGTTCCATGGGAAGGCCCTTTGGATTTGGTGAGAAATGAGTTAATTCTTAGATTCATTAGGTGACAGTGGACCTCTGATATTGACTTCAATGTCACAACATAGTGTAAGTCTCAACTCGTTAGGTCTTTTAATGAAGGCTTCACATTTTCTCCATAAATGGCTTGCACAATTTTTGCTTTATATGATCCAAGGTGCTCTATAGTTTTATAGCAGTGTTATTAATACCATTTTTAACTGATTGCTGCTGGTATGTAGAAATGCTCTAATTTTTTTGCATGGTTCTGTATCCTGAAAACTTGCTCAGTTCCTTAATTCTTTCAAATAATTTAGCTTTAAATTCTTTTAGATTTTCCACATAAATTATATCATCTGCAAATAATGACAATTTTCTTTTTTTTTCAGCTTTAATTGAGTTTATTGGTACATTTTAGGGATACAGTACAGTTACATTCATTGTTGGGACAATTTTCAATATTTGTGACTTTCATTTCTTTTTCTTGTCCTATTACATGATTTGAGATTTGTAGAATAAAGTATAATTAGGAGTACTGATGTATAGCACTCTTGCTTCATTCTTAATTTTATTTTATATTTTGGCTTTTGGGGTTTTTTTGAGTCAGGGTCTCACTATGTAGTTGAGAATGACCTGGAACTCACTATGTGTAGCCCAGGTTTGTCTCGAACTCACAGCAATCCTCCTGCCTCAGCCTCCCGAGTGCTGGGATTACAGGTGTGCGCCACCATGCCCAGCCTCATTCTTAATTTTAAAGGGAATATTTTCAGTATCAAATATGTAATATTTGCTATTTATATGACTATAGATGCCCTTAATTGGGCTGAAAAAGCTCCTTTTAGGGTTAGGGGTATGGCTTAGTGGTAGAGTGCTTGCCTAGTCTGCAGGACACCCAGGGTTCAATACTTAATACTTTAAAAGAATTTTTTAAAAGTTCCTTTTGATGACTGGTTTGCCAAGCTGTGTGTGTGTGTGTGTGTGTGTGTGTGTGTGTGTGTGTGTGTAATGCACGCTAAGCACAGACACTACCACTGAGCCCAGCCTGGCGTTTTTACCATGAATGGGTTTGGGGATTTTTTTATGGAAATAGCATTTAATTTCTGTATCCTTTTATGTGTAAGGATATCTTCTTTATGTTTTCAAACACAAGCCATATTTTGATAAAGTACCAAATGCTTTAATCCTGAGTTTTTCCTCTTCACATCTTTGTACACTTGACTCTACAGTTAATCCTAAATTGTAAAACATACACGGATTTGAAAAGTGAACACATTTGCCCCTCAGCTTGAGCCTTAGATGTTAGTGCTGCTGAGTCTTTCTGGAGATATTTGGGTTAAATGTTAAATCTGTTATCCTGTTAAAGAAAACTTCTACTATGTGGTGAATGATAGGCTACGAATCTTGTCTGAAAAAAGATGTTCCACATTTGATCAAATTCAGAGCCATGGCTGGTTTGTTTCTCTCAGAAAGGTGATTTTGAAACACTCGAAGGTGGTGAGCTGGAGATTCCTGGCTGGACACAGCTGCTGACTGATGAGAGTAATACTTTTAAAAGTTAATTTGATTTGTTAACAGTGTATGTTTGGGGTGGCAAAGCAAGACAGGCAGCACTGGAGGGCAGACAACATCGATTGGCATCTGTTAGGAAGCAGTGGGGGACAGGGAGGTGCCCAGGGTCACCAGGCCCTGGCAGGCTGGCCCGAGGCTCACTGTGTACTCGCAGCTGCGGCCACATTCTTCCCAAGTGCCACCGAGCTGCGCCAGGTCCCAGTGCTGACTCTGGGCCCAGCTCCGCCCACCCTGTCTGTTGTCAGACAGACTGGTGAGTCTCTTTCCAAGCAGGGCGAATGGCTTAGCTGATCTTGGTGGCAATGTGATTACCGATTGCTTTCCTAGCACTGGTGGCACCATTCCAGACTGGGCACACCTCCCATGCACACTTACATCCACTAGGTACCTTCCTGGGTGCCCACTGCCGCTCTGCTGTGTCACAGTCAGGGTGCTGCAGGTCCTGCTGTTCTCCAGGCCAGGATCCCCCCGGGCTAGGGCACTTCAGGCTCTGGTCGTCCCATGGGGCCCTGGCAGCCAACAGGGTCAGATGTTGCTGTGACAGGCAAGGTCACCCGAGCAGTAACTCATCTGAAACCATCTGGGGACGCGGGGTAGCAGGGGGACAGCTGCCACAGAGTGAGGTGCTGGCTCAGGGTCTGCCTTTATTTTATTCTTTGTGTTCATCTCAGAGTGCCAGTACCAACCACTGGCACTGAAGATAGGTAATATAAATTCTCCCCTGGGATGTGTGTGTGTGTGTGTGTGTATGAGAGAGAGACAGAGAGAGAGAGAGAGAGAGAGAGAATTGGTTGTTGGATTAATTCACCACTTCAGAAAAAGAAAAGTCAATTTTTTATCACTTCTTCCTTTCCAAACCAACCAATATGTGAGTCATACAGCAAAGTCACTAAAATCTACCTTTCCCTTTAACACATTCACATCTCTCGAGTCTCACGTACACACACATGTGAACACACACCCACGCACAGGCCTGTGCCCACCTGTCTGCCTGCCAAGTCCCAGACATGTTTAAGAGTCCAATACCTTTCTCCTGCTGACACTGCTCCACCCTTGAGGTTACTGGAGGTGACAGGTGCTTCAAGCCTGGTGGAGGGAGAGAGCCCGAAGGGCGGTCCACGACCATGGCAGGGACTTTATCGAGGCACATTCCACCTTTTCCCTGTGTCCTAACCTCTGCCTCAGCTTTTGCTGCATTACAGTAGCCACTCACTCTCCTCTTCACCTTGACTAACATCCTCGGCTCCCTGGTCCCCAACAGGGTGCTCTTGAGTGGGCCTTTCAGCAGCTGCTGTTAGCTTTGAGGACCCAGCAGTCAGCCCCTTAGGGAATCCACCTTGTGCTATGTGCACCTTCTCAGCTGCAAAGCGGGTGCTGCTGGTCAGCATGGCCCTCATTATTCAGTAGACTCCAGCTGGAATCGTGCAGTCATGACCGCGAGGTACTTTGTGTTCCTCTGTACTCAGAAGTCCCGTGATGAGTCCAGCAGTAAATCGCACTCTAAATTCCAGCTTCCCGTTTTCCCAGAATTTTTAAAATCTTGAATACAATTGTCCTCTCTGCTTTGAGATTTCTTTGTGGATCCTGGGATGACAGTGTCCTCCAGATCCAGATACTCCTATTCCTCCAGTGCACTGTAGACCCGGATGTCCCAAGGCTCCATGTTAGGACTTTGCAGCGTGGCCCACTGTGCCACCTTCCCACCTGTGGGCTCCAGTGTAGTCCCACTGGTCCCTGTCACTTCAGATGGTGCCAGTTCCACTTAGTCTCTTTGCAGAGAATCTTTTCCCACATGATTTGCTAAAATAAAAAATCCATTCTCTTCATTTTCTTCCAGGACATTTAATTATCATCCATTTCCCTGCCTTTTGAAAGGCAACTTTGGCTGGGTTTCAGCCTCTGTGGAGGGATGGGCTTGTCACCTGTCATTCCCAGGTCTCCTAGACCCAACAGGTGGGGCCTGACCCAGTGGTAGTTCTCCTGCTACCATGAGGCCGAACCAGTATTTTGAACAGCACTTAGCCCTAAGATAGCCACCTTCCATCTGGGGGCAAAATCCATTTGACTCAACAGACGTCTGTTTTCCTTTGCAGTGTTGTTCTGATCAAAACAGGATGCTTTTCACCTGTCCCCATCTCTCCAGTGTGACACTGTGTGGCCTGTGCCTCTTGTGGGGCAGAGGTCCGCACCAGTCGCAGTGCAGAAGCAAGGAGGGGGCGCCCACCCCACACACACCCAGAAGGGAGGTAAAAAGTAACAAACACAAGGGATGCTGTAGGAAGCGTGGAGGTGTTTGGTTTTGTTTTTCCAATTTTGCCCAATTTGTCATGAAAATATAATTTGTCTTAATATTTTAGCATTTATCAGGAATGCCTAGATTGAGAATTTCTGTGGTTTTGAGGTAGCAGGAAGATATAAATTCTTATTTTGAGCAATTCAGTTTTGCTGGTATTAGTAAGAAGGCTGGCCAGGGGACAGGGCACGTGAGAGAATGAAAGAAATGAGCATCCAGACAGCAGAGGGTTTGTTTAGTTTCATTTTTTGGAGACGGGGTCTCACTAAGTAGTGCATGTTGGTCTTGGACTCACTATGTAGCCCAGGATGGTCTCGAATTTGTTTCAATCCTCCTGCCTTCTGCCTCCTCAGACTCCCAAGTGCTGAGATGATAGGTGTGCGCCACCATCCCCAGCTTTTAAAAATATATATTAAAGGCTATTATTGATGAGAATATGAAGAATGAGCCAACAAATTTAGCCCCAGTTGACATAGGTCTGAAGTGGGGAGCTCGAATATATCATTAACAAGTGATATGTCCCAGCACATCCCAACCCACCTTGATCAACGTCAGCTGCCGTCGTTTCTATCACCCTTTGCAGGCAGGCACTGTCACCTCCTAAGCCAGGGAACTTGCTGACATTCTCCCTGCTAGGGAAGAAAACCAGTGATTTTACAAAGTGAAGGAAATCCTGTGCATCCAGCCCCCGAGGACACCCAGGTGAGGTGAGCTAAGCCAGGTGGGGCCCTACATCCGAAGACAGAATGGGCGAAAACAAATCACCAAGTGTGAGACAGAGTTCATACATGTGGCTTCTGGACCACGCCTGCCACATTCTGTTAAAAAAATTTCAAACTTTCCACCAAGCTTTATAAAAACAGAAATGTCATAAGGTGAGGCTGCCACTGTCACCTTTTATCCACAACTAAATCTGTTGCTGCTGCCCTGCCAGTGCTGTCAGGCTGCGCACTGGGCATACAGCCAGCCGTTCTACCCGTGGTTGCTGCAGTTACAGGTTCCACTGTGTGGCTAAGATATTCAGGGAGAAATGTAGAATAGGGAAGACTGGAAACAATGTAGCATAACAGCTACTTACAAAGCACATGCATCAGATACTGTTAGAAACCTAGAGATGATTTAAGTACACAGAAGGATAGGGAGGGTCTGTGCAAATACTGCACCTTTTACATAAGGGGTGGGAAGGAGTCCTGAACCAGTCCTCAAGGATACCACGGGGGAACAATGCATCCTGGGAAGTTAACCTTGCCATCCCTACAATATGTGAACAAAAATCATTACTTCCTTTTCCTTAGAGCAGAAAGGACACTAGACTCAGTCAGAGGATTCACTTCTGCATGGTCCCTTAGTAGCTTAGAGACCTTGGATAAGCCCTTTAACAGTGCTGGAGAACCTATGGTATGTGTGCTGAAGTGGTCTCACAGAGCCCTGTTGATACACAACCCAAGTTGCCCCAGCAGCTGAGCATGGGATAACAGCACACATAGGGACGATGTTGGCACGTTATGATAAACAAATGGGTTTTGAGATTGCAGTCTGGGCACACAGTCTCTAAAATGGTTGCCCTCACTGCCCTACACGCTCAGGGAGCAGCCGTTACCTCATCTGTAGTACAGTGGAGAGATACACCACAGTAGATCTTCTTACATCACAGGGGAAAATGCAATGGTACAAACGTGAAGTTTGGTAATTGCTTTAGCACCTGTGCTTTATTTAGTCCAGGTCCAAATTCACCTTCATGGACCGACAAAAACACTTCTGGCCTTTCATGCAGAACCCCATCAGCCTCTCAAATTAATACAGATTTATTTTGTAATACAAAATAAAGAAATGCAGTCCTTCCTTTAATAATCCAAATGATAAAATGCTTTAAAATTTGGTGTATATGCATTTGCTTTGTCTTATTTTTTAAAAAGTATCTCTATGGAGGTACTATGATATATGTAAACACGCTTGTTTTCATAGCCATGTATCTAAGATAAAAATTTACTTAGAGATTATTATCAAGAATTAAATAAACTAGAAATCTAGAGTAACAACACATTGCTAAGAGTTAATAATGTACCTGCCAAGACACTTTGTAGCTAAGGAGTAGATCAAATAAATGTTTCTATTTCAGCTTAATCACTTAAAAGTGATTTCATTTCAAACCACTGGGCACCCAAAGCAACCCTATAGGTTCTGAATGTCCTTTGAAATTAGAAATTTGTATGTGTGTTACAAAGTATCTCTATAATCTACTATTGAACATCTCATCTCTGATATAGTTTCAAAAGTTGGAGAATTGTTTCAGACATGGTTAAGTTACAAATACTTTAGACTGTTCTGTCCAATATGATGGTCCACTGACACATGGAACTATTTACATTTTAATGCAGGTTAGAAGTGAGGGTATAGCTCATTGGTAGGGTGCTTACTGACCATGTGCAAGGCCCTGAGTTCCAGCCCCAGTAGCATAATTAATTAATTCATTAATTTAATTGAAAATTCAGTTCCTCGGTCCCTCTAGCCTCATTTTATGTGGCAGCAGCCACATGCTGCTCAAGACTCCCATCTGGCACCATGCAGAATAGAGCCCTTCGTCACTGTGGGAAGTCCTGCTGAGAGAGCTGCTATAGACCAGTTGTATCTGCGGAAGCCCCAGTGAGCGGCTCTGGGCCCAGCATCTAGGAGCAGTTGTTCCCCAAGGTACCAGTCGTCTGCCCCATCCGGCTCCCAGCCCTTGGCACATCTTGCCATGCTCAGGATAGTCCAGGGGTGGAAGGGGGTAACAGCTCCTCTCTGTACCTGCCTGCATGGTATCAGTCAGAAAGAAAACTCCCAGATCATGTGCCAGAGCGACTGTTGGGGAAGGAGGGCAGTGTGGGAGAAGGGCTTTCAGGGTCGCTCTCCAGGCACATGAGAGGCCTTGGCCTGGCAGGCTGGAGTAACGACTCCATGTCACCTTCTCCTTTGCTGCTTGGTTAGAGCTCAGCTTGCCAAATCTGAAGAAGCAGCCGGCCACCTCCTCACCACAGTTACTCCAGGAGATCAGAGTGACCACTCCCCTGTCCTGCTGGCCCATCCCAAGTCTTGGTTTGCGGTCCGGGAGAGCTGAGGCATGTGTCAGATCTCACCTGTGCCACCCTGAGCATCTCTGTGCCTGTGCTGTGCGAATGGGTGTCACAGGGTTGAAGTGCTTCACAGGTTTACCTCCTTCCGCTCCTCGCACACTCACCTGGAAGCAGGTGGTTCCAGGCTGTTATTTATTGAGCTTAACATCATGGCTGGTGGTCCAGGGGTTACCACCAAGGCTACTAAAGTGCTGTAACATAAATACCTCTTTCCGGTTTCTGAGGACTCACCAAGTTGTTCTGTTGTAATTGGAACCACTAAAACAAACATACCACAGAGATCGTGTTCGTTTTCAGTCTCTGGACCACGAGATGGAGCAACCTGCCACCACCTCCATTTTCACAGCAGACTGCACTGGCAAAAGAGGCTCTGATGTCACTTGGGTACCAGGGAATAATCACGTGGGCAACCTTCTCCTTCCTGCCCTCCAGGGCCTGGATCATCTTAGGTTTCTTTTTGAGGACAATTTTGTATATCAGTTTAATTGTTCGTATGCAGTATGTGTTTATTATAGAAAACATAAAGAAATATCTTAAAAAGCCAAGTAGAATATGAAGCCCACACCTAATCCCAATTCCCAGTACCTGTTTCAGACAGTGGGTGGGTGATTTGAAGGAAAACTGCAGTTTGGTCCCGGAATTCAGACCTACACAAGCAGTAAGAACTCAGTGCCAGGCTAGCGCATTTGTCTTGTACACGAAAGGACCACAGTGGCAGGGCTGTCACTCTCAGGTCAAAGCAGTGGTAACCAGAGGACCAGAAGCACAGTGACCCATCTCTGCCCATCCCTGGCATACAGAAGAGAAATCCATTTACCTTAACCTGTGAACATTGCTTAGAAAAACCAACTGTTGTGTTTGACTTTTCATTTACCTATTACAAGGAGATCAACCAAAAACCCACAATTTATGCTTGGGAAATGAGAATAATTTTGCTCCTTTAACAAAAATGTCTGGGGCTTTGCCAGGTTAATTCATGGGAGAAAGAAGAAAATATTAGAACCGTTGTATTTTCATCTTTAAAAAACAGACAGGGTGCCTGCCTCGAAAGTGCAACGTCCCAAGTTTGATCCCCAGTACAAAAAAAAAAAAAATAGGAACTGAGTTTTGTTATCATTTGAAGTGCACACTGGTACCCTCTCGGTGCAGGTGACAGACAGATGTGTTTCTGTGTGGTCCCATATCTTAGAACCTGGGAAACATCATAGCTGGAAAAAGTCAGCCTTATTAGTTAAATGTGGACCCTCCTGCGGTTTATGTACGTGATGCTGTGGATTCACAGATATTTTCTATTTTTAACCAAGTCATCTTTACAAAATGGACAAAAGCCTTTTAAGGCCTCTTCCAAAGGAACGGCAGGCTGAGTATCGGTAGAGCCAGCCCGTGCCCTGTCCCTCAAGTAAGCTTTTCATCAGCCACAGGATGTCTACGTCTGGTGATCAATCCACCAGCTCGTCCCACCTTGCAGGTGACAGAATCTGCTCTGGCCAGTTTAAACTCAAAGCATTGAACTGCCGGTTGGGGTGGTTTATTAAGTTCTGTGAATGAACTGGCTTCACTCTGGCTTCCAGAAAACAATTCAGTATCTGCCACAGTGAGCAATGTGCAGAGCTAGGTAACTGCTGCTACACATGCCAGCTTCATGACCCTAACCCTAACCCTAACTCTGTCTCCAGCAACAGCAGCAAAATGGGTGCCCTGAGTTCTGCCCCTTGCCTGTGGCTTCTGCTACAGCAGACAGCCCGGCTCAGTCTTGCTGGTGAAAGCAAGCCTGTCATATCCATCCTCCCATCCTGCAGCAGACATCCCTCGGGAGGAAACTTGGTCCCAGTACAACCCACACTATGTGCACCCTGGGAAGCATGGTCTTTCATTCTCCCACCTGTAGATCTTAACTGAATCAGGCCGTAAAGGGTCCTGCTGCAGCTGGCAGAGCCAGACTGCCGTAGTCTACAACGAACCAACATGACTTGGTTAGAAGTCAGTGTCCCCTCGATACAAAACTATTGAAAGGGCATATAAAGTGTGCATGTGCATCTACCATCAAAAGGATAAACTGCCCTAACTGCACGCAAGTCCACAAACTTATCTGATGTGCTAGAGCAGATGTTACAGAATTCAAGGCTTTTTTTTCCTTCAAATTTTGGGAAGACAAGATTCAACCTCTTACCCGAAACCAGTGAAAACTGCACAGAATGGAAGAAATGTTTTTAAAGATTTGGACAAAGGCAGGGATCTCTGCAAGAAAAATGGGAAACAAATGAGGTGACCCCTGGATTGTTCTAGCCGGTTATCCTGAGACTTTCCTGACCACAGCAAGGGGAGGCAGAACCCAGGCAGAGAGCTCAGTGGGGTACCTGAGCTGAGGAGATGGAGCTGGGAGTCTGGGGAGACCGAGACAGGCAGAGCTCTCGGGACAGGGTTATTGGAAAACAGTGAGCTGCACAGAATGTGCTTTGGAACACTGATCCACACATGTGAGGGAGGAAGCCATCCTACACTGTGGAAGGATTAG